TCAAGACCTGTTCGGTTATGGTGCGCAACACCGCACAAGACGGGATGGGGACAAGGTCAGGCCTGGTTCTTGAGAAGAGAAGCAGGAGGCTGAGCAGCCAACCAAAGCTTGACGGCTCGTGGCGTGCGAAAGATTTTCGGTCAATCAAAGCAGCAATTTCATAAACTGTAACAGGCAGATACAGAAAAATCGCTAGTTGGCGAACAACCATCGTTAACAAACACGTCAATATGCAGTCTATTGGCGCATTCTAATGGTACTCGAGGAATGCAACACGACGACCAACATGTCACCGCGGCGTTTTGATGTTGAGAACAACGAGCATATGATGGGAGGGGATGAGGAGGGCATTGCAGCGATGTAAATGGAAACGACTCTACGAAGTCGGATTGATGAGTTTCCATCTGCCGAGGGTGCGTCATGAAATCGATGAAGTTTATGAGAACGAACTCACAGGCGTGCTTTCGAAAAAAAACTTTCGGGGAAAAATCACGTGGACCCTACCGTAATATGCCTTGTCGGTTCATGCAGGTGATGGATGCTACGCTGGCAGAAGCAAGGCATGCCCGGGGTCGGTTGTTAGGGCATACCAAGCACACCGTCGAACGGGTGAGCTTGCAGGATAGAGAGCGCTCGATTCGCAAAGTAGACTCTGCAGACCTAAATGTGATCAGTCTTGGCCCACTCGCATTGTTCGCATGTACTGCAATAGTGATGATGGTGCAGGTCCTTACTCGTGTTCCTTCGTCCAGTCGTGCCTCCTCTGCTTAAGGGCATAGCGATAGCCTCTCAGACCCCCCCCCCCCCCCGCCCCCCCTGCGTGCCCCCGCCCCCCGTTGAGTTACCCCTCCCGTTGGCCGGCAAAGTTCCACCATAACGGTAAAATATCCCTGGGGGGTACTAGGATCATTGCACCCACCGTCCTATCGAGGCCGTCGTTTCCGTTATTTGCTTGGCAGATGGCTTGCCTGGCGGAATACGTGAGTGTTGTGTGGCGGTGGTCTCAGGCGCAGCTGGCGTCCAAGCGCCATGCAAGGACAACATCGATGACTATCAACCATGAGTTTGAAAAAAAGAACAAGGTAAGTTTGCTAACCCATGCCAGTCTACATGTAGTGTGGAAAGCACGCTGTTCATCCTACGGACGAGCCGGAACGTTGCTTTAGGGCGCTGAGGAGGACACAAGATTCAACAAGACGTGCATGGAGTATTTCATACTCGTTGGTAGTAGCCCAAACGATTCTCGACCTCTTGCGATTGTCAAGTTAGAGCTCCGCCGTAGATGTGGAACATCGTCGTGGGATGTATTGGGGAATATTCTTCATATGACATAGAAGAAGTAAGGTAATATCTCCGTCTGCATGGAATATCCAGTCTTGAGCAAAAATAACTGAAAAATAATGATGCCTAGAACCTACTGCTGTGTACGACCTCGTCGGCAACAATTTTTCCCCTACAACAGCACTCCTTTTAGACTAAAAGCATCTTGATTCATTGCAGGAACTGGACGCTCTCCTGAAGAAACGAGTTGCCTCGCCCGTCTCCGCGCCAGCAAGAGTGCCTTCTTGGACAAGAATCTGCCAGGTCCGAGAAAAACGCGGGAACTTGCTCGCGCGCACCTCAACCCGACAGGACTATGACGACAGCAACACGAAAACCACTCACAACCCGCCCAGCACCACCATCATCGCCAACACCACCAGTAGTGCGATCGCCAACGCCACAACCACCGTCGCCGACAACGATACCGAACACACTTTCGGTGCCGACTTCAGGACGATACCGTCGTCAATCGAGACGCTACTCGACGCGACATCGCAATTACGCCGGTTGCTTACGATGATACCACCTTTAAGGGTGCCTAATCTCTGCTCCGTGGAAGATGAGAACGACTCCTCCGAGCTAAGAGAAACCTGATGTATGTTGCCAGGAGCAGTAAAAAGTTGTGTATCAAAGCGTTGCGGGTTACCCCCGGAGAAGGGGTGCGTTCTGTGTTAGCTGCTTCGGTATGCCCTCTCCCCTTTACATGAGAAACAACGTGTTGCTGTTAGTTTGGCGTTGGTACTGCTATGTCACATTGGCTGTCTGCACCACGCGTAATATAGGCGAGGATCGTGTCCCATCCGTAGAGCACCACAAAAATGTTTTAGGTATAAATAAAAATATATGTGTGATTATAGTCTGTCCGGTTAAATTTTGCCACAACGTGACCCCCACTTTTTCTCGCTCATTTTTAGGAATTGAATCGTGAAACAAAGTTGGCAAGAACTGCACGGTCGAGAAGCATCGAAATCCGGGGTCAACAAAAAAAATCCGTGTATTTCGCCACTTTTTGGCGAATTTGACCCCCCCATGATCCCACGGGGCCCCCACATGCACTCACGGGGCCCCCAATAACCCCCACGGGACCCCCATTCTCCCCGAAACTGCCTCGAAACGCCGACATACTAGCAGTTATTGAATGTGATAATATTTTATATTGATCGTGACAGCAGCTCCCCAAGCTATACTTGTCATAATGATAGCACCCTAACGTGAGATATCTAGATACATTAGGTCGATAACAAACACGCACACACACAAGGCCACCCTGTAGGCGGTCATCTTTGCCTGGGTGTTCGATCATCGGCCAACAATATCGCGGCGGCTGGTGCTGCTGCGCTCAAACTCAGGTGGCAGCGAGTTTTGTCGCCATGAACCTCTTCAGCATTTTGTCGGCAGCCTCGTTAGAAACCTTCCTGGCCTCCTGCGCCGCGGCAAGGGCGGCCGACTCTTTGGCCTTGCGCTGCTCAGGAGTTGTCGCTTGGTCTCTTGGGGTGCCCGGTGCTGCTGTATGGTGTGGGTTATGGTGTTTCGTGTGTGGCTTTGTGTGTGTGTCAGCAGCACCAAACTTTGAGCGGCCATATTTCGCTCAAACGAA